CGACCTCTTCTTTTTCTGCTTAATTCCGTTTCTCTTCCTCACAAGCAAACCCAGAACACATCGAATCGCTCTTTTTCCGAATTCTTTGCGTTTTCTACTGTTTTTTCTTCAATACCCAACACGAGAAAAGGGTTTCTGTTTCTTTGGGTTTAGAGGCTCAAAATGGCGACGAACATCGGAATGATGGATAGTGCTTACTTCGTCGGAAGAAACGAGATTCTGACTTGGATTAACGATCGGCTTCAGCTTAATCTCTCTCGCGTCGAAGAGGTATTTTTGTTATGATTTTGTGTGTATAATCTGTGCTTGTGGCCTTACGGTTCATTTTGCTAATTCATCTGAGAAGAGAGTTACAAATGCTTGTGCGTTTCTTTCTAGTGTTTATGTTCGTCGGACAGGGACATTGATGGTTATGGTGATTTGCTGGATATTTTGGGAATTAGGGTTTTGAACTTGGAGAGAATTGCTGATTTGGGTTTGATTTGGAATTGTATGCTTGTTTTGAGTGGCTTCAAAGTTGCAATGGAATAGATTCACTGTTGGTGTTGCTCTAAACAGGAGGATCTAAAGAGTTTTTTTTTTATTCAACTGTTCTTGGATGCAAATGTCTTAGTTCTAAGTTAATCTTTTGGGTTTTGCTAGGCTGCATCTGGTGCTGTGCAATGTCAGATGCTTGATATGACCTTGCCAGGAGTTGTGCCAATGCACAAGGTGATTTTACTTGTATATCATTCATTCATTATGCGCTTAGTTTGCTTCTTGGTCGCTGCATAATATCTCAAATCCTCCTCTGCAAGGTTAATTTTGATGCCAAGAATGAGTACGAGATGATACAAAACTACAAGGTCCTGCAAGATGTGTTCAACAAGCTGAAAATTACAAAGGTAAATCTCGATTGTTTGTGTACCTGTATATGTGTATATATATATTGCTCACCTTGTTTGTCTTGCTGAGAAAATACCTCAGCCATTGGAAATTAACAGGCTTGTCAAAGGCCGACCACTGGATAACTTGGAGTTTCTGCAATGGCTGAAACGTTTCTGTGATTCCATAAATGGTGGTATTATGAACGAGTATGTGCTTTCATCTATCAGATTTATGGAATTGGTACCCTTTCATTGTCTCCTAAACATTTCTAAAACTGATGGTTTCTTATAGGAACTATAATCCGGTGGAACGAAGATCAAAAGGTGGTAAAGAGAGGAGTGTAAAGGGATCAAATAAGATGCCAAAGTCGCTGCAAACAAACAATAATCATCCTCCACCCAATTCCAGTTCGGTTGGTCTTAGCAAAGCCTCAGGTCTGCCTGACAAAAACAGATTCTTAATCCTAACAACAATACGTCTTTTATGTCTCTTTCTAAACATCATTGGAATCATAATTCTCAGGGCCCAAGCCAGCAAAAGCAGCTGAAGTGCAGGCTTTGTCGAAGGAGGTACACTGCCACAGATAAAGCTTCGTTCTTAGTTTTTGTCTTCATCATTGTCATGCATAACCCTTTTCTCTTCTATGTTCATGAGTAACTGAAAATTCATTTTTCTCTTCTGCGGATACAGCTTACAGATCTCAAGCTCACCACTGATCTCTTGGAAAAAGAAAGAGACTTTTACTTCTCCAAGCTCCGGGATGTAGAGTTACTCTGCCAAACTCCTGAACTAGAGGATATTCCGGTAAGCATTTCCCTAGCGCCTGTTAATCTTTTCTTTAATATTTGTTTCATACCCTTATCTCTCAATCTATCTTGCTTGGTATAACCACCAAATTCACTTCTCAGTTCCATTAAACGTTTTTTTAAATCACACTGCACTAGACCATATTTTCGTAATAAGTATATCAATATTGTTATGAAAATGAAAAAAAAAGGCACCATCTGATTTCAATAAGCGAGCACATTTGGTGCTTCAATTCATTTGTGAAGATTATTTGTCTTTCAATCTGATGTATGCCTCCATGGAACCACCACGCAGATAGTGGTAGCAGTGAAGAAGATACTGTATGCAACAGATGCAAATGAATCTGCACTAGAAGACGCTCAAGAGTACTTGAACCAGTCCCCTGGAGTTGAAGCCGAAGGAAGCGGAGAACT